CAATCTTATGAGATAACGTGTTAATTTAACAACCTTCCCTTATCCACGGATATTTAATTTATACATCCATCAGTTGCCTCCCGTTTCGGAGGATTGCTTTTCAAACTACCGGAACGTTAATTCCCAAATATTACATAATAATAGATTTTTAGAATTGTAGAGCCGTTCACCCCGTATTTCTACAATGAGTTGGTTTGATTATTAGATAGTAGAGCCTTTCCCATTAACCTGACTCATATTGCCACTTCGCGAACACAGTTGGAGGTCGAGCCTGACTCAAATTTAGCCTAACAAAGTCGGGGGTAGAGCCTGACTCAAATTTAGCCTAACTCAAATTTAGCCTGACATAGTCGCGGGTAGAGTCTGACTCAAATTTAGCCTGATTCAAATTTTGCCTGACATAGTCGGTGGTAGAGCCTAACTCAAATTTAGCCTGACTTAAATTTTGCCTGACACAGTTGGGGGTAGAGCCTGACTCAAATTTAGCCTGACTCAATTTTTTTTTTCTTTTCTTAGGACCGTAGATGTCTTTGACATATTTGTTGTAGTGCCAGATTGGCAGCTCGTATATGTGGCAAGCTGCTATGTTGGCCGCCTACCTTTCGGCACATAGGCAATTCACGTGGGGCTACCAGTATGGTTATCTTATTTGAGGATTGACTTCTAATCGTATTCTCTGACCAATATGTCGTCTGCGATTCCACCTTGTAGAAGTAAATTCCTACGCAAAATAACCCGTTGGGAGGTGATTGTCCCTCACGAAGCAGATTTCTGTTACAATTCCACCATAAATCTCTTCCTTATTTGTTTATGTTCTTCTTCTATAAATCTAGATGATTTAAGTAGAATTCATTCAAATTATTTCCATCTTTCAGAAAACCAAGTAGTACCAATCGTAATGATGTTGTTTTATATTTGATTTTATTGACATCTTTAGTCAGCTCGTCCTTTTAATAAGGGAAGTAGATTCATACGAGTTTCACTCAGCTCGTCTCTTTTAATAAGAGAAGTAGATTAACATGAGTTTCTCGTAGTGATGTTGTTTATTACTTGATTTTATTGACATTTTTAGTCAGCTCGTCCCTTTAATAAGGGAAGTAGATTAATATGAGTTTCACTCAGCTCGTCTCTTTTAATAAGAGAAATAGATTTATACGAGTTTCACTCAGTTTACCCTTTAACAAGGGAAGTAGATTACTATGAGTTTCACCCAGCTCACTCTCTGATAAGGGAAGTAGATTACTATGAGCTTCACCCAGCTCACCCTTTAACAAGGGAAGTAGAACTTTTAACAAGGGAAGTAGATTACTATAAGCCTCACCCAACTCACCCTTTAACAAGGGAAGTAGATTACTATGAGTTTTACCCAGCTCACCCTTTAATAAGGGAAGTAGACCCTTTAACAAGGGAAGTAGATTACTATGAGCCTCACCCAACTCATCCTTTAACAAGGGAAGTAAATTACAATGAGCTTCACCCAGCTCACCCTTTAATAAGGGAAGTAGACCCTTTAACAAGGGAAGTAGATTACTATGAGCTTCATCCAGCTCATATTTTAACAAGGGAAATAGATTACTATGAGCTTCACCCAACTCACCCTTTAATAAATAAGTGGGTAACCCCTCGTCTCTTTACCGAAGGAAGAAGATGAAGTTGACCTTTCGTTCCTTTACGGGGGAAAGAGGTGTAGTCTTAATGAGGGTGGTCCTTTTAATACAGGAGGTAGTCGTCTCGTCCCTCTAGGTAATGAAGGAAACTTAAATTATCTCACCCTTCTGTGTAGAGTGAGTAGTCGTATTCTTGTCCTTTTAATGAGGGAAGAATGTGTTGTTGGCCCTTGGTCCCTTTAATAAGGAAACCTTTAATAAGGTGTAGTCGGCCTCTCGTCCCTTTAATAAGGAAACCTTTAATAAGGTGTAGTCGGCCTCTCATCCCTCTCGGGCTGGGTTAGATCCTTTTCTTCCATTCCCAGTCGTGAATCTACATAAATGACCCTTGTGAACAAGGTTCTCAATCTGGTTTTTGATGTGGAAACAATCTTCTGTGTTATGTCCATGGTCTTGGTGGAACCTATAGTACTTATCTCGAGACCTCTTTATTGGATCAGCTTTTAACTTTGGCGGCCATTTCAATGATGAGTCATCTTGAATCTATAGAAAAGACCTGCTCTGCAGATGTGTTTAGAGGGGTGTAGTTATTATACCTGCCTGGGCTCACCGGACGACTAGACGATCTGTCAGCCTGGCTGCTTGAGAATTTCTTGTACTTTGATTCCTTTTCCTCCCTCGTGCTAGGTGCTGGCCTCGTTTTATCTGATCTCTTATCTTCATCATCTTTGTTTTTTCGTGCATTCATAGCATCCTCAGTGTTCATGTGCTTCTATGCTCTAACCATCAACCATGCCATGCTCGTAGGGGCTTCCTTTGACAAGGAGAATAGGAACTTAGAGGTCTGTAGTCCTCCCATAAAAGCTGTGAGGGCAATCTTTCATCCACCTCTTCTACCTGCAGTATTTCAGTATTAAAACGACTTATGTAATCACGAATAGGCTCTCCTTTCTGTTGCTTCACATTTAATAAGTGTGTTGCTGGTCTCCTATGCCTTTTGCCTAGTGATGAAGTGTCCTATGTATTATTTGCTCAACTCATTAAAGTTTTCAATGGAGCCTGGCTTTAATTTATTGAACCAGAGATGAGCCTAACCTTTTAGTGTGGTAGGGAAAGCCCTGTATATAATCTCGTCAGGTACGGCTTGTAAATACATAAGAGTTTTATAGGTCTTTAAATGATCGAGAGGGTCTCGCGTCCTATCGAAGCTCTCAAGAGTTGGCATCTTGAATTTGCTAGGTAGAGGACAACTCATAACAGCTAGGCTAAATGCTAGGTTGGTTTTCTGTACCAGATCGTTCACTGTGGCCTGGCCCTTCCCTTTCATCGCTTGTATGATGTCTTCGATCCTAGCTCTCAGATTTTGCATCTGTAGATCGAAATGAGTGACGTCCTCAGTCTTGTCGCCAACACAACCAGAGGTATCTCCACGAAGCTTGGCGGTATTCCGTTCAGGAAACCGATGGTGATGGCTTCTCTGCTGACCCCCTATTTGACTAAGCTCAGCGTCGTTATCAATCTTACGAGAGTCATTGTTGGGTACTTCACTGTTTTCCACCTCGTTGGGGGTGGCTAAGCGTTGCAGAATCATCGCATTTTGCTGGACTAATTGGTTCATTCCCTCATCTAAGGTTTAAACTTGTTGTTCCAACGCTGCGACGTGTTCCTAATCGTTTAGGGCGACGGGGGGTTGCCTCGTCAAGTCCCCTTGATCAGAAGTTTGCAATGCTTCGTCCTCGCCAGCAGCAAGACCAGATCGCAATCGAACCATGCTTTGTTTAGAGAACTAAAATCGTTTTCCACAAACAGCGCCAACTGTTGATGAAGAAATCTGTACAGTCCGGAGTCGAAGGTGTTTCCTGCAAGACAAGAGAGAAGTGACAACCGGCATGGTGCCGGCCGAGTGCACTCTGACGGTTAAGTTACTACTTGATGATTGAATATCCAATAAAGGATTAAATATAGGATTTATGACATACCTCCAAACGTCGATTAGCCCCCTTTATTTATAGGGCTTAGGTCAGGATGTCACGTAAAGTTACCGTTGTCTTCATCCTTATCATAATCTGTAGGCTTAATCCTTATCGTAATTTGTAGATTTAATCCTTATCATAATCTGTAGGTTTAATCCTTACAGTAATATGTAGATTTAATCCTTATCGTAATCTGCAGAGCCTATCTCAATCTTATGAGATAACATGTTAATTTAACAACCTTCCCTAATCCGCGGGTATTTAATTTATACATCCATCAAAGGTTGTCTAGTATCAGAATATATAAAGAACTTTCCCCAAATGTTGATTTTCAATGGATTTTTCATATTCGGGTATGTCTCCTATCAATTTATAGATTTAGAGCACTGAGTTCAATTTGTGTTAAAATTGCTTACGGTGTATGAATTCATTTGTCCATTTTAGTACTCGAAGTTTTATTTTGAAAGACTAATGTACGAAGATGACAACCAATGAGATTTTATGTTGTCTATGTACTGGTAGAATTATTGTTTTAATAAACTTTCTTGTTGTGTATGGAAGCATCAAGTCAGCCCTTTGGGATTAGAATTGGAGGGAATTAAGCTAAAAATTTCAACTAAATTCCTTCCAATTCTTAATTCAAGGTGCCGATTCAGTCCTCCCAAACATTGCATTCAGGAAATTAATAATTTAGAGGCAAAACTGGAACTTATCTAATTTTTTCAACCTTTGAACCTGAACTAAAAAATATAAGGAAACATTACACTTTATGGCCTTTGAGTGATACAGGCAACCTATTACCTCAACTCAAACGAAATTTAGCTACTCAAAACGCTTAGTTTATTATATTCTTAATAGCTTGAACCGTTATCGTAATAAATTAATTCAATCTGAGATTACTGAAATTTTATCTAAAAATTTTAGAAAGACGATTGAAATATACTCACAGAATTAACTGTATTTAACTTAAAATTGCTTTGTTTTGGACTATTTCGATAGGCTTGAGGGTTTTGACATATTGGCCAAGAGTTTGTCATTTGGATTGATAAGTATAAAACCTATACAAGAATTTAGAACTCTTTTATAGCCTTGAGACATGTTTGTCATTAGGTTAGCATTTTAGGACTCCTTTGGCAGGTCAATTTCATTGAGACAAAAATATTTCATTCAAATTACTAGGTGTTTAATACTTATAGCATTTGCAATCATGCAAGAATGGAAAAAGCTTGGGGCGTAATTAAAGAAAAAACAGATATATACTTCAAAGTTTCATTAATAAGCTTTTACATTTTATATACATAGGAAATGCTTCACACGCATTTTCAAATAAGTAACACGTACAACATATATTTAAGCAAATAGAATTTGCTGAAACAACAATGGATTTCTAAGATGGAGGACGGTAGCCACCCATATATCATTAGCATTTTACTACAGTAGGATATGAAGAATCCATGGCAATGCCACAAATGCCTTCCTTAGCAGCAATGTCTCTTTCCATCATAATGTATCCCTTATCACCCCACATAGTGCCCCATGAATTCTTGACTAACCAATACTTGGTCCCGTCAGCAGTTGTCCCATACCCAACTGCAGTAACACCATGGTCTAATTCAGTACCACAATCTCCGGTGAAAACCCCGGAAGAGTAAAACTGAAAGGCTGCTCCACTAGCATCAATGGAAACCGAAATTGGTTGATTCGCCACAGCCTTCAGCAGTGCCGCCTCACTGTTGGCAGGCACCTTTTCGTAGCCTGTGATCTTCGCTGCAGGGGTCTCCTCCTCAGTCTTGCAAGTCCCATCTGTTCCATCGTATGGGTATGTTGCTTCAGTGGAAATGCCTTTGTTTTTTATAATGAATTCGAAGGCATCTTCCATGTAACCACCTTCGCAGCCTTGATCCACACCTTTGTCACAGTCCACCAGTTCTTGCTCCGACAATGAGATCAACTTAGTGGTTGTGAGCTGATTAATCCCTTCTGTAGCAGCTATTGCTGAAAATGCCCAGCAACTTCCTGTTGAATGATTAACAATAGTACTATTCATGAGAAAAATATTTATGGATGTGAAAAACATAAGTTAGACAATTAGGTGGAATATTGTCTTACCACATTGACCTTGATCCTTAACGGGTGTGACAGCCCCTTTTTTCCTCCAGTCCATGCTAGATGGGACTGCGGTCACATTTTCATACCTAAACGAAGTTGCTTTAGATGGCCTTAAATTTGAAGAATTGATCTTGAAACCATTACGAGATGCCTGGAATTCTTCCTTAGTTTGGTCAGCAAACTGATTGATGCCCAGCTTGTAAGGTCTGTTCCCGGCATTGTTGAAGGATTCTATGAACTCCACGTTGTCCTTGAATATCTTGAAACGCCTTTCCTTCTCTGCATTGTCCTTGTACACACGTCCATAGAGAGCCATCCATTGCTCGTGCTTCTCTAGCATGGATGCTTCATAGAGTGTACGCGACACTGCTTGAGAAGCCCACAGCCCCAAAATTAACAAAGTAGCAATGACAAATTTTTGGTAGAGTGTTAAAGCCATTGTGAAACTTGGAATGGCTAAGTAGTGATGGTGTTATGAGTAGATGAAATTCCCTGTCTGTCCGAGTTTGGTTTTTATAGTTGATGCATTCTCTTGAAGTTTCTGCTTTCTCAAATTGGGTTTTTGTTCCGATGTGAATCTTGCGATTGAGATGGACATAATCCTCTAGTTTGCCAGGAAAATTGTAATGACTTGGACAACCAAGTTCAGTACCGTAAACGCTGCCCCATTAAAACTAGATTTCATTTTAATAGATTAATCTATTGCCCTGACAAAATAGTTTTCTACCACATAGAAACTTATTCAATAGTCCTTGTTTTGTGAGGAAAAAACATTATGTTTTATTAAATAAATATTAAAGATGTAAGTTTTGTTGTATTGTTTGTATTTACTTTGTGTCTAGCTGAAATTTATTTTTCCTGGCTTGTTCCTGAGCCTTGTAGGACAATACATTTGAATAGAAAGTAGTTGCAAATGTGATATTTTTTATTTATTTTTATATATGTTGCTTTAATTGGAAGAAATTCCCCTCTTTCCGAACAACCTCATTTTATCACATGAAGTTTAATATTAGGAAATGCAGCATAAAAGGCACCATCAACTTTCAAAGTTTTGTTTCAAACAAAAAAAAAAATAAAAAAAAAATAAAAATAAAAAAAACAAACTTTCTAAGATTTGTGACCTGATATGAAAAGAATCAGGTGAATTACTCACAGGCAGCGAGCAGAGTGGGAAGAGGTATATTCTCATTCAATAAGAAATTTTCTTCTAAGGAAGTAGATTCGGGCTGCATGTTTTGTTTAAATTTTTAGGAATAATTTAAATGACAGAGAAAAAAACAGTTTAAAAATTCATTTAGTTGACATTTTCCAATGACGACCTAATTTCAGACATGTCTGTATTGGTTTACTCAAAACTTTTTTTTTTTTTTGAAATGATTTTTTTAAAAAAAAATATAATAAATAAACAAAAATGGTCCTAAATCTTAGTAGAATATTTTTTATCTTAGCTTGGGAAAACATTGACAACCAAACCTTTTTCTGGTTCAGCAATCCAGTGGAGGTCATTAGCCCAGCTGGATTCAGTTAAGGACTCCTGTTTATCATGGGAGTATTGGTGGCTCAAATGTAAAATATATTGATGAATATAAGAAATTGGAAAATAGGGATCAACTGCTGGCCTTTAAGCTATATGCTAGAACATATGGAAAGTTATCTTTATGGATAAAAGGATAAGTGAAACAGTGATAGTAGGCAAAGCAGTGAATCAGTCATCAATATATGAAGGCAATATTTAGCACAGACAGAGAATATAATAGAGGAGATTCTGCTGCTAATAAGGTCCCTTTAACTATGTGAAATTAAACTTCGATGCGTTCTCAACGCAATATATGGAGAATTGGGCGGGGGTACGTATAATGGTTACAGATTCAACTAGCTCTGTATTATGCAAAAGTGGCTGAAGGTTTAACTTTTGCTATACCTTGTGACTGATGGTTTTGGAAGGTGATGCTCAGTCTGAGTGTTTTTGGCTGTTAGAGGTTTAAAAGGTAGCTCATTGTTATAAAAGCAGTTGTGGACGATGTTGAGAAGCTTTTGCATTTTAACAAGGAATTCAAATTGGACTTTGTGATTGCAAGAGAAGCCAACATGGCAGTCCATTTCCTTCGTAAATGGAAACTTTAAACTACTGTTTTAGAGGACAGGTTGCCGAAGGAAGTAAGTGAGATTGTGCTTTCAGATTGTATGTAATTTTTTTAACACAAACTATTATTATTATTATTATTACTACTATTATTTGAGTTTAGACCAACCCAAATCCAATTTGAGACTGTCAAATTAGGTCTAATTTAATTGTTTAATGGTTAGAACAAATAGGAGTTTATGAATTCCTTTGTGCCTTCTATGAAGATGAGTATAGTTGTAAATTCATTACAATAGTTTCCTATTCTTTCTTTTTTTCAAACATGATTATTATCATTTTATTTCTTTTCTTTTATTAATCAATTAAACAAGACAAGCAATTAATATTATTCTTGTTTTTCCTTCTTTTTTCTTTTCCCTCAAAACTAATATTGTCCTTTCTAATCTTAGTATACTGATAATATAGAATGATCAACTTATTAAATAATCACATTTGCTAAATAAATACATTTTTTTTATATATGATATTGATAACAAAAGATACATCATTCGTTCAATTATATTGATTCAACTTACACAAAATATAAAATTGTTATAATTAAATTCAAAGTAGAATGTGGATGGTTTAAGTTTTGATACGAGCACGGGTGTATGTGATTGTATTTTTATTTTATTTTATTGATTTGTTAAAAGGTCTTTCTAATTGAGGATCCTCCACTGTGTTATATATATATATATATATGTGTGTGTGTGTGTGTGGGGTCCATAATAAAGTAAGTCATCAATGATGACACCAATTTGGCGTGAGAAGGAAGATTGCAAGAGTTGCTTACAGGGGAAGCCTCAATTTAAGCCTATAAATAGGCAAGTATGTAACTGATCTGCATATCTATCTCAAAAAGCTTATAAAGGAATTATTTCCTTTGCTTTCTTTCTCTCTTAATCCCACTATATATATATATACACATACACACATATATATTTATTACACGTTATCAGCACGAGCTCGATCCATTTGAGATTTGAAGGAGAAACTCTCTCTCTCTTTCTATCTCAATTATATATCTTTTTTGTGATATTAGTTTTGATAGATTGTTAGGTTTGTTTACTTTATCGAAGAAAATTGTATTTTTGACTCCAAATGGTAAGAAAATTTTAATTATTGATTATTATTTATTAAATAAATTTGTTCACTTAAATGATATATGTGCTCACACTATGGTCGATTCTACCACCCTTATTATTTAATGATCTACTAATTATGGTCGGTCTTACTACATTTATTATTTAATGATTTATGGCCGGTTTTTACCGCCTTTATTGTTTAATAATTTATTCACTATGGTTGGTTTACACCTTTGTTATTTAAATAATTCATATTATGTTATTATTTCACTTAATGCCATTTTATTTATTTATATTCTATGCTAAATTATATTTTTTAATTGTTGTCACATCAAATTATTCTGAAAATGTCAAACTTGACAAAGCTGGAATTTGTGGCCTCGGGCGTCAACCCAAACCCACAGTTTGTGCACTAAAAGATAGTGGTGTAGGGCTATAATGAATGTGGCCAAGTTTTACATTTAGAAATTGCCACTACTACCTTTTACTAAAAATATAGTTAGGGCAAGTAGGTATTGTCCTAAGGGATTGGTGGGTCGTATTAGGTTGTGGAATCGAGATTATGGTTAGTAGGTCGAGTGATCAAAAGATTGGTTGGTGATTGAATTATACTAAAATGCAATTTATACTAAAGTAAATAATTAAATGTAATGGAGAGAAAATAAGAGAGAGATTTTGGGATTTAGAGATTACCACTAAGCATAACTTTTCTACACCCTTAATGAATGATTAATGAGGGGGAAAACATGTATTGCAATATAGTGTGTATGTGTGTGGTTGTTTCAACAAGCATGGATGGCAAATTAAACATATATTGTCTAAGCAACATGGTGGATAGTACAATATATCAAACTAAGCCATTAATCCTTTATTTAAGCTCACAATCCAAACACATCACAAGGTTAGAGACATATGCTACTTGCTTTCATAAGAATGGAACATCAAACAACAAGCATGGATTGTCCTCCCATTTAACATCTAAACTACAACTACACTACAATTAAGCTAATGACATGAAATTAAACTAATTAAACTAAGGGAGAGGCACAATCTATCAAGAAATGAGTATGAACCATCAAATAAACCACAAGAGTATTTCATTAAGCACTATATCTTGACAATCTCTAGATCTATAGTATTAATACACATAGACATGCATCAATAACACAAGAGATAGAGATAAACACATGAACATCTATTCTAGCATACATAGACATATGGATAAAATGAAATGATCAATTGGAAGTATTAAACCACATAAATCATTGAATAAATAAGATCTATATATATAAAAGTGTCAAAACATGTATCGCAATACAAATCCCCTCAAAAATACATAAATTAAGATGTAGGAAGTATGCTTAAGGCTAACTCTAGCCCCAAGAGGATGTCTAGCCACTCATGGATGGTATCTTCCAACCCTCAAGGGCTAACTCCATGATAGAGATTGCTCCTCTTCTTGGTTGATGGAAGAACTCCAAGCTTGTGTCTCTAGCCTCCTCCTTTCTTTTCTTCTTCACTAAGAATATGGAAATTGTGCCTCTATCTACTCTCAAGTATATCCTCTTAAGTCTCTCTTCTCAAAAAGTGGCTCATATTCCTTATATAGGTAGGTTAAATATCACCCCAAATGAGCTGAGCTCGTACACCAATATTCCTTCTAATGATTGGATATGAGACAACTTTTAATGAGCTGGAATTTGGATTTTCTCAGAATTTGGGAAGTTCGATCGATCGAACTTGTGGTGAGATCGATCGAATATGGTTGAGATCTATCGAATTTAAGCTGGATCGATCCTCTATGGCGGCGCCTTTTTGGATAAAAACAAATTTGAGATATTTTGAAGATATTTTTGGGAAAGAGACAAATGTGGTAGGTAGGGTGGTATAAGTGGATAAGATGAAATCTTTTCAATCGATCGGAAGAAAGTTGGATCGATCGAACTTTGTGGGATCTTTGGATAAGGACAAGAGAGCTTGGATCCTTCTTGGAATGCTGAGATTGATGAACTTTTGATCGATCGAGTATTTTCTGAGATGGATCGAACTTGCTGAATTTCCACCACTTGCTTCCTTTTGCTCCCACTTTGCTCATTTCTTTGATTCATCTCAAGATTGCTTCAATTATGCTCTTATTTAGCTGAGTTAGCTTATTTTAGGGATAAGTACTTGAAAATGGAAATAATACAAAATCAATCTAAAGCGGGAAAATAAGATAGATAAAGGTTCTAG